TCGTGCTGATCAAGAATATATATACTTTGTGGGGTCTGCGATGATTCCTTCTGCCTGTTACATACTTTTACACAAAAACATTATACCCTGATTTCCCATTTTCAATGGGTTCAGGGTATAAAAAAGAAAAACTTCTAGAATGAAAAACTAGTAAAATTTTTTTTTCTCAGGGTATAATGTTTCTTACTTCTTAGATTCATTCATAAATTCCAAATAATCAATAATTCTTTAGCTGTAGGTGGGTAGTGTCGATTGTGTTTGCATACAAAAGAAACGTAAAATAAATAATGTGAGAGACATTTCTAGATTGCTCTGATTTTCCTCATGGTCAGAGCTCGACAATATACAAAATATGTAACTAATAGCTTTTTTACAGGGCATCTGCCAGTGTCATAAGCTCAGCAGTGTACCAGCATAATGTCTTCGCATAATGATTACAACTACACGCAAGTTATGGTGTAAACAATGGATTAACCAACAATCCACCACAACCTTCGGCCAAGAGAGCACTTGGCTTCGCCATCGAGATGCAGTCTAAATTCTTCGGTTGGTTTTCAACTTTTCACAGCATCAAATTGATCAAATTTTATTCGATACACGCGCACATTACGTTGTAAAATAGACGATTTGGAGTGGCCGCCATAGGGCCATAGGTATTCCGAAAGTCTTAGAGCTAAGAAGAGAGACGCAAAGACAAAACATCAACCATTTGTTAACTTGCGGGCGCGCTGAGTCGCTGTCAGTTGAAATGGCAAAGATGCACGGCTACATAGCAGATTGCCGTAGAGCCGAGTGCGGGAGGCGCACTGTCAAAGGGATGGGTGTGTGGGGGGTGTCAGGGTAGACGAGACTTCGTGACTGCCCAGGTTGCCAGCCGGTGTTGCTGTTGCAGCGGAACAGCATCTGCTGGCTGTTCGCTGACCTTTAAGTGCATAACATTAATTGCCTGCCACACATAGGGAGAGAGAGAGAGGGAGTGAGAGAGAGAGCTAGCTAGAGAGCAGCAGTGGAAGCGAGATACATTCAGACACATGGAGAGCGACAGAGAGTCGAGATATTTAACGTACAGATTGGCTATTGCTGCTCTCCAGCAGCTGCGTGCCATGCAGCTCCAGGTAGATGTCGTCCAGCACCTTCGATAGCTGCGCCTTTTGCTGCTGCTCCTGCAGTTGCTGCTCCCTGCGCTGATGTGTCCACAAGCTCTCAAACATATTCGAGTACTTGGCCAGCTTGCGCTTAAATGTGAGACGCTGCTGCCGCAGCTTCCTGTTGCTCTTCGCCAGCCTGTGATGCAGACGGTCCAGCATTTGGTCTTTCTGCTTCAGCTGCTCGCTATTCCGCTCGTGGCTGATGGCCAGCTGTGTGACAATTTGCCGCACTTCCAGCATCTCCTCGAGGCTGGCTTCCGCATCGGTCTTGATGTGCCGCAGCTTATCGGACAGCCAACTCGCCTGCATCTCCTCCTCGCCCACGAACGCCGTTGCCTGCTGCAGCTGGTGCAATGGGCTGATCTTGGTCTTGCATCGAGTGTAGCTGTTGCGTTGCTTCGGCAATTCGAACGCCAGCTGAATGCTGGCGTTGTTCCTCTTCAGCAACTCCAGCAGCTCTTCCAGCTGAAATTTGTAATCGCTGCCGTGCCAGAACTTCAGCCCGAACAGCATATTGCTCAGGCAATGCCATTTGCTGCGCTTCCGCACATAGAGCGCCTTCCAGACCTTGGCACAGTCCATGGCCATAATTGCATTGAATTGTGGATCCGGCGCAGCTGTATAATTGATAATCACAGTGCTCTCATCGCTGTCCAGTAAATCCTTCAGGATTTGCGTTAACCGTATGTTGTAGTACCTGATATGCGTTTTGGTATTGCTCGCCAGCGCGCTGATTATCCTCAGCAATGAGGCCATGGGCGTGTGCAGTTGCAGCATCATCTCCGACTGATCGACGGCCGTCAAATGGACCAGTTGGATGCTGCCATTGAGATGCAGCGATCGATCCAGATTGGTTTGCCTCACGCAAATGGTGAATAGCGCATAGGGATAGTCATCGGTGGACGTGGCATCATCCGATTGCTGCTGCAGCTGCCCAATGACCTTCTCTATATACGCATAGACCTCATTGGGCGAGGCGACAAAGTGCTCCTCCTCTGTGTCCGTTAAGTGCTCCCTTGCCACAAGCTGTTGCATATGACTAATGGCTATGTTGATCTCCATCGCCACCTCCATGCTGTAAACGTGGCCGAATAGCTCACACAGAATGCGATCCACCACGTCCACTTTGCTGCTACGTTTCTCGCCAATTGGCCAATGGCCATAGCTGAATATGGTGCTGGCTGTGCCCTTGAACACATCGTCCAGTACACTCGATGCGGCCTCCTCACACACATCGGCTTGCTGTTGACTGAGCTCAGTCAGTTTGCGAAATAGATACATGTTTGCCTATCGTAAAGGAATCGGGCATTGAGCATCGTGCAGCGATTGGCCAGCATTGCCGGCATTGCTCTTACCATGCTTAACGAAGTAAATAATGCCCAAGTCACAATGGTGCGGGTTTTGAACTATATAAGTACTATACATATGGATTTTGAGTTGTCAATTAGCCTACTATTCTATAAATGTGGCTGTATATGTGCACACACACACATTCATCGAGAACACGTTCACTTCGCCTCAATTAACGGCCAAAATGTGTGCAGCAGCATCATCTGGTGGCAACTGCCGCAGCCGGATACCAATTCAAATGCCAAGTGCCACAAAGCACAAGTAGAAGTAGTAGTGGAAGAAGAAGAGGCAGACGTAGCGATAAAAAACATACGACAAATGCCAAAGTTCGCCTACGGCCTTTGGCTTGTTAAAGTCGAAACCTTGCCACGGCTCTTCCAACTATTGTCACGATATGCACCATGCGACATCGCTGACTCTCACATCGCTGACTATGACCGGGCCAGCTGATATTATATCTTTGACTTGAGATAGCCTTTATACTATATAGTAGTGGGACGTGTCTAGAATAAAATGTATATAAAGTGTTTTATATGAGTTAAATATATATTGTTAGGATTCATGTAATATTCCGAGACACAGATTCCAATCGGATTTGAATACGATATGATATGATAAGATATATCGTATACAATATTAATAATGATAATAACGTATTTTATATACATGAAAAATAAATATAATATATATATTTCTTAAACAGGTATATGCAAAGATATTTATATTTATATATAAAAGAACATACATATACATATACATATACATATATAAAGATTCATTTTCTAGGCCTTTACATACGCTACGTCCGAGTTGAGCTGTTTTTATATAGACTCTAGAAGATTATGAAGTTTCTAGATTCTCTAGTCTTTTACTGCATACTTTGTGTATTACTTTGTGTATATGTAAGTATGTAGAAGTTCATGGGAATGAATAGATAGGCACCCAGATATATGTAAGCATGTAGAAGTCCATGAGAATGAATGGTTGGGCACCCAGATTTACACACATGGGCTAGAGCAACATAGCTCGATAGCGTCATCAATAATATGTTAGCTAGGTCAATATTTATTTTTACAATTATTATTTATTATTTCCACACCTTAAGCAAACACTATTTATTTTACAATTAAATGGCAAATCTTGTTAAATGTTTCAACAGCTGGCTGTTATAAATAACTTAAACCGCTTTTGAAATATAATTATGGAAAATAGTATCAATTTTGCTGGGTCATCGCTTAGTTTTATAATTTATAAATCATTCAAGGCTGTTGCTATTTTTGATAACTATAATTCAACAGTTATTTAATTTAACAACAAGTCATAATATTGGTATTCAATGTAATTTTCTCTATGATTAAAAATGCGTGAAAATAATTTTATAAATTATGACACATTAATAGATATGAGGAAGATGAGAAGATAAGTCATTTCCGTTGCCTATTTGTTTACCTTTTGGTTTCCATAAATGCGTTATTTTCTTTAAATTATAGATAGGAAATCTAGCAAATAATACTAATGATATATTTCCTATCAAGAGAAGAAGTAACGAATTTTAAATAAAGGTGCCATTTTTGTTTTATTTGCAAAAATAATTAATATTTCATACTTTGCCATCCATTATTTTTTGGAAACTTCATGAAGCTGGCATTTCGAGAAAGAGTTGTATCAGACTTTCAGCATTATAATTATACTCAGAAAATTTTTTTTTTAGATCTTTCGTCTAGAAAATTTAAATTGCACACCTTCAGAGAATATATTTTTTCAGGATTTTTAATTTATTCCATACGTGCAAAATTTTTATCCGGTTTTACGTATTTTTTATTTTTTATATAAATAATATATTTTTTTTTTTTGGTTTCTTGAGTACGAATTTTTATGTCTGCTATCCCTTTATAATTTTAAGCTCATATATTAATATTAAGAAAATGTTTATATGTAAATATTTCTATTTATTTAATTTGCTGTTGTTGTTATTGTTGTTGTTAATCAAACAAGAAATTAACAATTAGAAAGGAAACCAAAAATTGCTTATTAACTAATTTCGCCCACTTATCAAATTGAATCTTGCATGTTGATCTGGTTATGTGCTTTTGCTGTTAATGCGGCTAACTGTTTGCGCAGCTCTCACATCGAAGAGTTAATTCGTTTGTCCAACAGGTGCAGGACTATCGCTTCCTCTGCCCAAACAGCACGGCCTTCGATCAGGAGCTGCAGATCTGCGCCAACTGGGCGGACGTCGATTGCGACAAGTCCACGTCGCTCTATCTGAACGATTTGTATCGCTCGGTGGACGAGAGCAAGAGCGTTAATCAGGAGGATGAGTCCACCTTCCATTTGCAGCGCGCCGAAAGTGGTAGATAATGATCCAATTATGTTGTCTTATCCATTATCGTAGCGATCCCATTATACACGACTTGACCTGATTGCAGGTGATGTGCGTCGCTCCAAGGAGAATCGCGTCGATCAAAAGTCGCGCCCCAGACATAATTATGCGGTGACTGCTTCCAGTTCCAATGCGGACAATGCGCCGACAACCAAACGACCCATCACTAGCTATTATACGCCCACGACAACCACGACCACAACAACAACAACCACGGAACGTAACTACTACAATAACAATAACAACAACTACAACAACAACAACAACAACTACAACGACGACTCAAAGCGTAAGTTAACAAACAATGGAATCTTCAAATTTATTACACAAATTAATCACGCTCTTGTCTCTCGCTGGCATCCACAGAAGACATCGATGATATCTTTAAAGGTTCCCACAGCTCGCACTTCTTTGCCAATCGGCATGGCGGGCGCGAATTTGACGAGGAGCCGCCGCGTCCCAGGCCCAACGACTTCAACGATTACAATCGCAAGACCACTGAGGCGGCTAGCAAGACGCGTGTTACGCCCACACGTGGCCAGCGCACCAGCCAGAGTCCCAGTGCCAGTGCAGGCACCAGCACCACAGTTGCTCCCTCAACGAAATCCGTGAAGAAGATAACGCTGCATGCTTCCTTCAATACAGGCTTCCAGGACTATACGCAGCACTACAAGTCGACCACGCCCAGCACCTTGGCGCCCACAGCGAGCACCACACCGCGCCTGGGCAGCGGCATCACCAGCCGCTTCAGCTTCGGCTCCAATGACTATCAGACCCAGGAGCGCATCCAGCCAACCACATATAATCCGAACAATGGTTTTCGCTACAAGAGCACGGAGCAGCCGTCCAGCTCGACCAAGCTGACGGGCAAGAACGCCCAGGACTTTGACAAGGAGACCACCAGACGACACAAGCCCACTGTGTCGGCACGCAAGCAGAAACTCGGCCCGCAGGAGTCGAACTACATCAATCACAACGAGTTCGCTGAGCTGGCCAAGCCGCAGCCATTCCAGGCCAACCAAGGTGCAGCCCGGAAGCCCGCCCAGCTGGAGCCGCAGTATCAACGGCCTCGCTCCCAATCAACCGCACAGCAGCTGACGCGCGTGGGCAGCCAGGAGCCGTCGCCATTCAAGTCCTCGTCGAGCGGCTCTGCCTCCAATGCCAAGCCGCGCGCCTTCACCAGCCGCGGCAGCATCACCTACAAGGCGACCACCCAGCGCTATGCCGACGATGAGTTCTACTATCCGACCACCACCAGCACTGCGAATCCCAGCAAGAAGTTGTCCACGCAGGCCTTGAGGGATGCCTTTACGCCCACCACCTTCAAGCCGACGACGTACAAGAAGGCCTACGAGCAGAGCTTCTATCAGGTGCAGCAAACGCAGCGCCCCAGCCAGAGTCCGAGCTCCAAGAGGACGACGGCTGTGACGCCTGCGCTGCCCACCACAGCCAATCCGTACGCCAATATAGATGAGGATGACGGACAGTACCATCCGGAGCTGTATGAGAGTGATTTCCCACGCAACCGCTTCAAGTTTCTGCGCAATCGATCAACTACCAGCCCCACGACCTCCACGAGCACCACCAGCGCTCCCGTCTCGAGCAGGCAGCCGCATGGGTTTCAGCAGGCGCACAGCCACCTGAGGAGCCAGCAGCAGTCCGCCTATCAGAAGCAGCATGAGCAGGAGCAATCGGATCTGAGCGACGAGGATGAGCTCTTCAAGACGGCACAATCGCTCAACTTTGGCGCTGCCAGCATCAATAAGCTACGCGCTGATATCTACAAGGCGGAGAAGACCTCGCAGCAGTATAACTCCCAGTACAGTCCACAGTTGGCGCCATCTAGTCCGAAGACGACCGCCCAGGTGACCAGCTCCACCACAACATCAACGACAAGCACTACAACCACAACAAGACGCCCCACAACAAGCACAACGAAAGCGACAACAACAACAACCACCACCAGCTCTCTGGTGGAGTCTAAGAAATCGGCCAAGAGCAAAAAGGAGGACAAGAAGAGCAAGCGGCCGCCATATGCCGACGAGGATACCAGCTACGACTACGCCTACTACGACACGGCCTGAGCTCCAGCTCAGCAGCAGCATCGGCATACGCCCAGCTCAGCTCAGCCTAGCCCAGTCCCCAAACTACATAGCCCTTAATTTGTATGCCTTCATCGCAAACTAACAATGTTAGCACACACACTTGAATCCTCTCCAGCAGCAACTATATAGGTGCCACAGTATTTTATATATACGTATACACAAATCAAAATAACTTCCCGTTTAGATTCAGCTATTGCTCGCATTTTTTCATCGTCTTCGGCTATTCGTGGCCTCTGAATACCCATTAACACTCGCGTACATTCATTCAATCAGATGCGTTCGTTCTAATGAATTTCCATGCGTGTATCTAGTTATTTAAATAAAACAAACATATTTTTAGTCGTTAGACAATTGTTAAACTGAGAAAAAAAGCGAAAACTTAAAACACGTTTTGAAGTTCAGCTGCTAAAATTGAAATGAAAAATTTCTATTCATGAATTTGTATTTGTAATGTTTTTCGATTGTATTCATTGCGAAATTTATATTAATTTTAAGTTTTCTTGTAAATAAAATGATAAATAATAGTTTGTTGTGAATTTTTACTGGCTGGCATTCGAATTGAGCGCCCACGCTCAGAGCTTTTATTATCGATAAGGTTGAAGACCAGCTTAAAGTGACTATGCAGCTCCCACTTATCGATGCTTGCTGTTAAATATGTTATCGAGGGCTTACGGACCGATCGACTTGAGCTACTTCAGCCCTGACTTATCGGTTCTAGCTGTAAGCAGACAAAACTCGACAGTGCAGCCCTGCAGGGCGCAAATTCAAATTCTTTTGATGTGTGCTTATTATGTTTTTATTAATTAAATCTTAAAAATCATATAAATTAGGTGAGTGCTGCGCAAATTTAAATTTATATGCTTAGTCTTTAAATTTTTGACGCACGCAACGCGGCATAGGGAACAAATAGAGCAGCATATTGAAAGCCGCCAAGCCCACTGCGAAAGCACAAGACGCAGCGACATCAATTGTTTCCTGAAATACGAAAATATGTTTAAGAACAGAAGGATATGGCATGCTGCTGGACTTACATCTGGATCTGGTAGGCCCAAGCGCTCGTGCATAAAGTCTGTGGGCTTCGGACATATAACAGAGGCGGTGGGTGTGCAGTTGAGCTTGCGTGTCTGAAAGGCGATGCTGTGCAGCAGCGAAGAGGCGTAACGCGTATGCGTGCCCTTGGTATTGTCCTGCAGCCAGGGCTGCAAGCCCTTAAACGAGCTGCAATTAGAATATTTTATTAGATATAGCTTTACTTTTGATTGCAAATCTAAGAACTTGCCGCACTGTGCCGCTGGCCAGGGCAATGCTGATGACCAGCACGTAGGTCACTGCTATGGCTGCATTGAAGGGCACCTTGACCACCAGCAAGAATGATATGGTCATTTGCTCGGCCAGCACGTAGCTGGACCAAAGGGCCACAAAGAGATAGGCGAACACGGTGCCATTATTGAACTTTGAATCCAAGAGAAGGCTATGAAGAAATCACTAATTAGGATTTATACATACACTACTTGTAAACTAAATCTCTTACGGATAGATAACACAGCTAGCCAAAACTGAAGACACCGCTGAGAAAGGTATGGAAACGGAGTTGTAGGATAGCAGTAGCGTAGTGCCCGTGTAAAGACCTTCTGGAGTATCCTGGGAGAGCTTTTTGCGCCAAATGGGAACTGTAAATGGAAGAAAAATTAAGTCGGGCTTTTAAAGATTTGCTTACCAAACTTACACAAGGTTATGGTGGTCAAAATGCCACAGCCATAGGATAGACCAAGTATATTCAATATCATGCTGTTTCTTGTAAAGAAGCCACTGGCATCGTCCTGCGGGAGAAGAGTATATAAGAGAGGGACTCCTTAAAAGCAAAGCTCAATACCCACGCTAAGATTCGTATAGAAAGCCCACAAAATAGCCATTGATATGGGCAACAGGAGCAGGCGAAGGAAGAGCGTCTTCATGCCCACCACGCCGCAAGAGAATGTGGAAGCCAAAAGTTTTCTAAAAGAAAGAGTTTGGGATCAAAAGCATTTCTAATAAAACTCAAATTCCTCTCCTTACAAATACAGCATGATCCAAACTTTGAGCTCGCCGGGCTTGCCATAGGCTAGAGGCACCTTGCCCGAGCCCATGTTGTTCAGCGGCGCATCGGAAATGGGCGTCTCTCTGGAGAAGCGCTCCACCAGTGCCTCAATCTGCTGGCTGGACTCGAGAAAACGATCGCGACTGCGGCGATCGACAGTGGAGAGACACAGATAATACATGAGAGGATTCTCCAGCTGCGGACAGGGAAAGCCAATGGCATGGAAGTACTCCAGCATGGCACGAGTGCCGCCCGAGTAGACAACGCCGCCCAGGCATAGGAACAGCGCACGATCCAAAAAGGGGAAGACATCAGAGCGTGGCTTCTCCAGTGACAACAAAATGCCGCAGCCTGTCTTCTTGGCCGTGTTTGAGAGTATGGAGATGAGCAGATAGGCACTGAGAGGATCCAGACCTTGAGTGGGCTCATCCAGCAGCAGCATGACTGAAAATAACGAGAGCTAAGCTCCGCTGCAAATGTTTGAGTAGCTGTAAAACTCACCTGGATCTCGGACCAACTGTATGCCAATGGCCAGGCGTCTGGCCTCGCTTATATTCAGATACTCCACGCGCTTGTGCGCCACCTGCGAGAGCGCTAAATCCGCCAGCACTTGACGCACCTTGGAACTCTTTAGATACCCACGGAGCTGGAATTAAACAAAGGCTGTAAGTCATGTCTAATCAATGTATTTTGCACCTACAATGGTGGGCGTGTAGTGCAATGTTTGAGCCACTGTTAAGCCTGGCACAAAGGTGCAGGATTGTGTCACATAGCCGCAACGTTGCTGGAAGAGCGCTTTGCTCAGCGGCGAGCCATTGAGCAGCACCTGGCCACGAGTGGCGCCATCCGCACGCCTTGCAATAACATCCAGCAGAGCTCGTTTGCCGCTGCCTAAAAAAAAACGGATTTCTTTAAAATGCCACAAACATGAGCAGCTCATTCACCTACCCTTTGAGCCCAGTATGGCCATCACCTCTCCGCTGTGCACGGTCAGGTTGACGCCTTTGAGCACCAGAGCTGAGTTGCCGGCACCATTGAAACAGCCACCACCGTCCACCTATACAGATAGTGAATGTGGAAGAGAGAGAGAGAGAGAGAGAACAAACAAAAGACTTCAATGTTTATGCTTGTTTGAGAGGCTTCCAGTGCACTTGCCTCGGTGGTGTGGAATATGTTATGCGCTTCCAGTACGTAGTCGCTGCCGATCATTTTCATAGCCAACACAATAACAACTCTCCAGAGCAGCAAACAGCTTTGTTTGTTATTCTTCTGCTCTATGCCTCACACTCTGTACGCCGTTAAGAGCGGCTCAAAGAACAAACACTGGCTGGAAGTAAACAGTGCACAAGCGCACTGGAATGAGAGTCGTGCTGAGAGAGGGAGAAACACAGAGAGAACGCGTTAGCTGCTTTAATTTTATTTGGAATCTTTTACGGAACTCGTTAACAGCAATTGCACTTCTTAAATATACTTTATTCTGTTACATTATTTATTTATTTATTTTAATGGTATTTGCACACTTTATACTTAAATTTAAACACACCAAGAAAATATTTATTTATGTTAGCTGCGAATCAGCCGCGAACACGTCTAGTCCAAGCGAGCGCAGAATTCCAACTGAAGTTGTTGCTGGCATTGCGATCGGCACAAAGCAGTAGCTCTTCCTATTGGAAGTTTAAGCGTTGGCAGCTGGAATGAATGCGTTGTGCTCTCCCCATTTCCAGACGCGCACTCTAAAATTCCAATGCAGTCTAAGATGGCGTCCGAGGCCAAGTTCAGCTCAGTACGATTTGAGCAGAGCAACGGGAGAGTTGTCTGCTGCGCCGCTCGCTCGGCTTGTTCACGTCTGTTGCCTCTGCGCATAAAAAGTGAATTAAAATACAACAAAGTTTAGCAATAAATAGAAAAAAACCAAACAAACAAACAAAAAGAACTGCGCGCTTGAAAATCTAATTGAAATGTTGTCGGCGTAGCTAACGAAATATAAATGCGGTAGCAATCTTTATGTGCAAACATATATATATGTATATACATAATATAAAAAATACATATATTTATTCATTTATTTATTAATGTGCAATGTGTGAACGCTTGCAAATGTGGTTTATTGGCCAGGCTCGTGTGTGTGACAAATCAGTTTGCAAATAGCTTGCAAACAGCGGCATTTGCCATACCCAAATTCTCCAATAAGAAACGCAAAACTGTGCGTGTGTGTGTGCGTGAGTTTTTATGGAATATACAGCAGCGGCAATAACAAGAAGCAGCAAAAAACAACAACAACAACAATTATAGCCAGGTAAGTAAGCTTGGGATTAAAATTGTTAAACATTTTTTTGCATTTTGCATTTTTGAGGCGCCTTTTTTCCAGGTTGCACATTAAAACATTGTCCAACTGGTATTAACTGTTAAAATTTATATTCAAAAACCAAGTCAAGCCACATAGACACATGTGTGTATGTCTTTCTCAGTATGTGTGTATCTATATGGGCTTAGTCGAGGCGTTGACGGGCGCTCAGCTCCTGCTCCACGTTGTTGTTTTCTTCAGCTGCGGTCGTCGTCGCCATTGCCAGGTCAAAGATCCCACAAGCAAGTTTTGTCTAGCGAACGCTTCGCTCAGCTCCATCGTTCTCTGCAGGCCTGCAGACCCAGGTCTATTGCCGTTTCGAAGCATTTCCACGCTACTTCTTCGTGCTGTTGGCTTTTTTATTTTGTGTTTTCCATTCGGCTTAAAAGTTCTTTTGCGCGCTTAGGGCGCATAGACAGCGCCAAAGCTATGCGTTGGTCTGTCTCTCCCTCTCTCTCTGTATGTGCGTGTGTGTTTGTGTGCTGGTATTTGTATGTGTGTGTGTGTGTGTCTCTGTATCTTTCAGATACAAGTTTCTGTTTGTTTGTTTCGCTCGCTGACTCGCCAAGTTCTTGGCTGCGTGCGTTGCTTATTGTTTGTCTTGCGTCTCGGCATTTCCTCTTTGCCTGTTGCTGTTGCTGCCGCTGCTGCTGCGTCTCTTGTAGTTGTTGTTGTTGTTGTAGCTGCATTTTTGTGGTAACTGCTTATTGACGTTTTGTTGTAATGCAAAATCTGTATATGAAATGATTTTGCGTCTTGAAATCGTAAATGCTCATAAAGAGCTGCTATCATTTAGATTTAGCCATTTATCTTTGGCCATTTATCTGTGGCGCTTTGTTGCCAAGAATTTCGAAATTGGCCAACAGCAGAGCAACTTTCACATTCAATTTTTTTTTTAAAGCAAACAATCACTTTCAAAACTGTGAAAAATGTTGCCATCATTTGATAAGACTTATATATAGAGAGAGAGATAGAGACAGTGAGATAGATATATTTTTGGCACATTTCTCAGAATTGTTAATTGCAAGCATTAGTTTTTTGGCCAACAATGCTTCACGTCTAATTACAATGCCATGTTTTACCGTTAGCTGAATACCTTTGCCTATCAGCGCCCCAAAGATGTCTGATTCTTGTTCTTTTCGTTGTTTTTTCTTCCTCTTATATTTTGTTGTCTGTTCTATGCCTGGTGACTCGTTAGTTTCTGTGGCTCTCTTCCTCTTGTTGTTGTTGCCTTTTTTTGTGGCGTAAATTAGTTAACAGTATTTCTTATAACTATTAACGGTGCTGCCTGATGATTTGTAGCCAGGCCGAAAAGAAGAAAAAAAAACAGAACAGAAACTAAAAACAAAGTGGGAGAAGAAAAATCTTGAAATGCGGACCGACCGACAATCTGTGAGTTTCAATTCGAGACAATTTCGAATCGAAAACGAAAGACTTAAGACACAAACTTGATGTGAAGACAAAGTCAAAGGCGTAGCGACTTAAGCCGAATTGATTGTCAGTTCATTGCTTTGCGCCGAGTTTTGGCCAACGCGGCGGGTGGTGCTGACGGTGGTGCTGCTGCCACTGCTGCCAGCTTTGTCTAGCCAACGTTTTGTTGCCTTATATAAGAAGGGGGGAAGAAAAAAAAAACAAGGTGCGGCTGCAGCTCTGGCCAAGAACTTGTTCTGCTCGGCACTTGGCTTACGTTTATAGCTTATTATTTTTAACTGCAGACCAATGCATTGGCTCTGCATTAAGAGTCATGATTCATTGCATTTAATGGGCCTCCGCTCCTCTAGACAGACTCGTCTTTAATCCCTCGCCCCGAAAGCGTAGTGAAAACTTAACGAACCGCTGCAAATGAAAAAGAAATTTCCCTCGGCCATTGATAAAGTACAGAGCGGGTTAATTTGGGTTTTATTATAATTAAATTAACACATAAAAGACGCGCCACATAGAACAGCTGCATAATTAGACGAAGAAAGTGCTATCCAGCCAACTGGATGGATGGATGGATGGATGGATGGATGGATGATGCTACACAGCTTGTGTCTGGCTGTTCGCTGTTGTTTTATGGTCGTTTCAAACCAGAAATTCATTTCACTACATCAACTTGAACTGCGTGTGCCGTCAGCTGAAGTCGAAGTTGGCTGACATAGAATCAGAATCGAGGCACAGAAAAGTATCTTAAGGAATGTGTGAATGCGAGTGAGTGTGAGTGTGTGTGAGTGTGTGTGTAGCTAGACAGCGAAACACGCGCACACACCCTAACGTGCCGTGCATAAATTGTGCCACGGATTTATGTCACTCAAGACATCGTGAGTTTTGGCATGATCTACAATAGGTTCGTATATCAAGCAGGCACAGTGGCTTAAAGTCAGTTTATAGCTGACATAATTATATAATCAATCGACAAATTTAGTGATCGACTTTTGAAGCTGGGAATTATATAAGATTTTTGTTTAGTTTTTATGAGAGTCTTTTTGTAACTTTTCTCTTCTGAATTTTATTAGGTTGCATGGCTAAATGTTTGTTTAGTTTTTGAATAGAATTTCCGATGTAAAGAAATTTGTGTAAATGGACACCAAACTAAATCGCGTTTTTGAAAAGAAACTTTTTTGGATGTGGAAAAAAGTTTACATATGCAAATTAAATGATACAGTAGATAATGTTACATAAAAAGAAGTGACGATAAAGATTTAGATTTTTTATTTAATATCTTGAGTTTCAACTTCAATAAAATAATTTAATGTTAATATCTAATATGTTGTCTCAAGCTCAAATAAACGAATAAAATAATATCTTTATTACAAATATATATACGAGTGTTTTTTTTAGATTTATGTAAAAACTTAACAAATTAGTTTTTTTTTTATTAACAATTCGGTGTATTATTAATAATGATATAATATGAAACAAATGCTGCTTATATTTATTTATAATATATTATTATTATTATTATAAGTTCATTGTGTCATGAAGATATTTATCGTTAATTATAGCATACTACCTAAAATGAAAGTTTAACGAAAATACTAACTTTTTTCACAGGCATCGATTAAATATCTTAAAGAATTCACAATCAATAGTAACTTCCTAAGTATATGTATATATGCCTTTGGGAATACTGTCATCATTTCCAATTCCTAACTACGTTGTATATATGTACATGAAAATTAAATTCTTGGCTTTAAATATTATAGACTTTAGTTAAATTGAAAGCTAATACATGTTCAGTTGACATCAAACTTAACTTTAACAAACTTATTCAATTCACAACGATTGCATCGCAATTTTAAAAACCTTAATCAGCCATAGCTGATTCTCTGCAGATTTGCACCACTGTAGCTAGCTGGCGCCACGGGCTCAGTGTCTGTGCCTGTGTCTGTGTCTGGGTGGGTGCGTTAGCTGTGTCTGGGATATGTCCGACCTATAGTCTCTCGCATTTTTATGCATGTGAGGGCAATGCGAAAATATACATATTTAGTTTGGAAAAAAGTTGTATTTTGTTTGTCATGGAATTTGTGTCAATTAGAGTGGCGCATACACATGTGCGTGCGTGTGTGTGTGTGGTGGGGCGGATAGGTGGGCTGGTGGTTTCGCTGGGTTTAGTGGGCCGCGCGGGTTTTTGATGATGTCCACAATTGAGACGGACGGACGGACATTGCCATGCAAATTTTTGCCTCGTTGTCGACTTTCACAAGTCGATTGCAACACATAGGAAAGTGTTTTGTTTGTGCCGGAGCGTTAATTGCCTGTAAAGATGGCCAGAAAAAAAATAAAAATAAATAGAAATAAAAAAAATCCGTAGCATGGCAAACGGCTTGAGTCGAGGCAATTAATAAAACTGACCTTGCTGCTGTGAATTTTCCGAACGAAAAACGAGCTAACGAAACACCAAATGGAAACTGAATCACTTGAACACACACACACACACACACACACACGCACACATAGAGACAAATACGTTGAGCGAGGGCTATGCAGCCATGACGAGTATTTGTTGACGGCATGACATTAACTTGGCTCTTTTTTTGGGGTCAC